GAAGGTGATGCTGCATGAGGAGGAACAACAAGGAAGTTGAGAGCTCGGTTGAAGACGCCAAGTTAGTCAGCTCTGATACTAGTAGCTCGAGTCGGGAAAGTGGATTAGGGTTGTATGGAGGCGAGTGAGCTGGTTATAAAAGGAGGATACTCTGGATTTGTTCTTTATTGCGTGTATGTTTCTTTCTATACAAGTTTCTTGCTGCATATTCTGAGCAGATAGTGGCCAATGAAGACATGACAAAGTGAGAAATTAGGTAGCTTAGGTGGTTATGTGAAGAAAACTATCCAAGGAAGGGGATAAGGAGTGGGAAAGGAAGATCAAGAGGACGCAAAAAGTGTCTCTTGTCGTATTTCAGGTAGTTGTGTTTAGGCGGATCGAGTTTACGAGATAAGTAGGCGATGAGTTGTAACGACGCTTATAATAACGGTGCTTTGATCGTCATGCCGCTGTTCATCAGTGACAAGTTAAAGTGCAAAGAAAGGCAACTTGCTCTTGCTCCCCCTACTTGTACTCAACCCGGTTACTCAGTGTGTCTAACACCGTGGAAGCTAATCAAGCCATGTCAGAAATGAATTCATTGTTAGGTGGCAAATTTGTATCGCAATATCTGCTTTGACTTTTTCTACTTCATACACAAAGATAACGTGTCATAAAAACTTCAATTTTGCTTTAAGAAGCTCGCATTATGAGGCATTAGTTAGCAAGCGATTATTGCTAGTAATAAAAGCAATGGCTTCAAGGTCGGAAAGGTGTTGTGCTCCATTAGATCTCAGAATATTGTCCAAGTAGGCGATCACGCACTGATCATATGGTCGTGCCTACTGCTGTGGGTCGAAGGTTACGGTGGTAATTTCAGAGCAAGTGCTTTGTGGGGAGGTTACGTTGCCTCATCTATGTGCACATGAAGATACAGTGGTTGCGGATACATGGCTGCTGGTCACAGTGGTCACCGCATAGTCATGACCGTACAATTGCGAGCAGATGGTGCAACACATTGCGATTGCATCGCGGCAGCTGCATATCGCGGCTGCAGTGGTGGTCATAACGTGGTTGCAGCAGAGCAGAGAGGCGGCACCGCCATGTGCAGGCACCAAAGATCACCTCATATCAGGAGCGCATAGCGGACACCATGGCACTAGCATGCCCTGGTGGTTAGGAGGGCCGCAAGGTATGGCTGCTTGGCGGCGTAGATGTGAGCTGATTTTTCAGAAGTGTTCGACTCGATCATGTTTGAATCTGCGGGCCATTGACCCCTGCTGAATGCACGTAATTTTGAGTACATATTATCTAATGTCAAACCAAGTGATCGTGCAATTCGTGCTTCCAATATTTCCATAAGCAGGGCTTAGGGTACATTTTCACAATATGCATGGTAACTAAATTTTATTATATCTATATATTTCTCTAATCTTAAATGCTTGATTATGTTAGAATAATATAGAGATTCACAACGATACTAAGCTCACCTTATTTTGATTAAGATCTCCCAAGTTAATTTCCAAGATTTGTTTTGGGATATTATATGTTTGGGTAATTATTGGGACATGCCTATAAATAAAATCTGGTTGGGTGGTTAGGATGGGGCACACTGACTTCTGAATTGGGGTGGCTAAAAGTTTGTAGCAAGGGTTGCAAAGTTACAATACCTAGGCGAAACCAGTCAATAGTGGATTTCGCAAATGACACAAAAGGGTCGTATGATGAGAGATGCATCCTTGTTACTAAGAGGGTTTTTACTATTTTTCCCTTACTTTTGAAGAACCCCTCTCCCCCATAAGATATTCCTAAAATCCTCAACTTCAACAATTTTAAACCATAATATTTGTACTTCATCCACCGTTCTAGTCATGTAGTTGGACATTTTCAAGTCGTTTTTTTTCAAGTCATGAACACATTTTTTTCAAGTGATTCAAATAAAAGGTAATAGCTAGGCCTAAGGCGTGCAAAATTACAAAGCAGTTTTACATTTAATTGTGAAAGGGTTTTATGAAAGTGACAAAACCTAGGAAACAATCCCAAGCCGTAACGAAGGTCGAACATGTCAGAATGTTATTCTCTAGCCTGTACTGGAGTGCTCTGTAGCGAGTACAACCCATCTAGGGTTTGCTATATGTATCCTCATTGCTGCTAGTGAAAACCCTCTTCTTTTGCCTAAACTGTCTCTTGCCTAGCTAGGACTCTCCTAGTTATGGTACATACTACATACTAACACTACATACTATTTTGACATGGTATCAGAGCTTAACGTTCCTGGCCTGTGGGCCCACTTCACTGCTTCCGCTGCTACTGCTACTCCCTGTCCGCCGCGCGCCCCGTGGTGCGCGGCGTCGAAATTAGGGTTTTCAGCCCGCCGTGCGCCCCGAGGCGCGCGGCGGTTTTCTCCCCGCCGTGCGCCCCGAGGCGTGCGGCGGTTCTCTGCCCGCCGTGTGCCCCGAGGCGCGCGGCGGGTTTCTGCCCCGTCACTCGGCGCGTCGCCCCCGGGAGGCGCTGCGACGGGCGACGGGGACCCGCGCGTCGCCCCCCGTCGCCCGTCGTGGCCTGCGCGCGGCCCGTACAGCCGGCGCGCGGCCCGTACGGGCTGCGCCAGGCCCGCGCGCGGCTCGTACGGGCTGCGCCAGGCCCGCGCGCGGCTCGGACCGCCTGCGCGCGGTTCGGGAGGCTGTGCCAGGCCCGTGGGCGGCCCGTTCTTCGCTGCCCCTGTCCTCCCCGCTGTCCCCCGTGCTTCTGAAGGCGCCCCACCCCTCCTTCTGCCCGTTCTCCTGGATTAGGGTTTGGGGGTGGGGGGTATGGGGGTGCAGCTTCTGAGTGCCGTTCCCTGCTCCTCCTCCTCCTCCGTCTCCCTGTGCTGCAGCTGCCGCTGAGGGGGGGTGGACCTGTTGGAGCCGACGGAGTGGTACTAAGGGGGGGGTGAAAGGGGAGTGGAGCTAGCGGTGTAGCAGCGGGTGTGTGTTAGGGGGAGTGGGATAGTTTGGGGAGGTTGAAGGGGGTGGCCGCCGTCAAGCCAGCAGCTCCAGTCGCCCGTGAGACCGTTGCGCCAGTCGCCCGTGAGCCCGTTGCGCCAGTCGCCCGTGAGCCCGTTGCTCCAGTCGCCCGTGAGTCCGTTGCTCGTCTGCCGCTACTTTTAGCCGCGGAGCCAGTTACTCCAGTAGCCCGTGTGCCAGTTGCTCCAGTTGCCAGTGTGCCAGTTGCTCCAGTTGCCCGTGTGCCAGTTGCTCCAGTTGCGCCGTGTGCCAGCAGCTTCAGCTGCCGCCCACTACCTCCTCTCCTCTCATAGTCTCTTTCCTCCTCCTCACTTGCCCGTTGTGACTACCACTAGCTTTGCTCATAATTGTGAACTTTAAACTATTGCTTCTTGAACTTGTGCTCAGAATGTGTGGTGACATTGTGATCCACCCTGAGCTTGTACTGCTTTGTTTGCTCTGCTGATTACACCCCACTTTGGCTATGGGGGTGTGTCAGAATGTTATTCTCTAGCCTGTAGTGGGGTGCTCTGTAGCGAGTACAACCCATCTAGGGTTTGCTATATGTATCCTCATTGCTGCTAGTGAAAACCCTCTTCTTTTGCCTAAACTGTCTCTTGCCTAGCTAGGACTCTCCTAGCTATGGCTCCTAACACTACATACTATTTTGACAGAACATGTTCGTCATAGTAAAATTCACTAGGTTCGTGAGTAAACCAGCGTGGATTTGGTCACACTGATTTGCATGTTGAGGGCTAAAAAAGGTGAGGTCATTTCGATTTCATTCCCTTGGTTTTGGTTAGGCGCACCATAGGCAATTTTGTAGCAGAGAAGGTATGCCTATTCCATCAACATTCACTGCTTCGGGGGACAACCCGAATCTTCGGGGCTGGGCGTTGCGGGCGATATCGTTATGCTAGGCAATCTCCGTGCGGTTCCTCCCGGTACGCTCCTCCACCACATGCCAACATTTACAAACACTTTCCGCTATGCCAAGGACGAGGGGGAATAGGCAGATGAGCATGAGGAGGTGGAGGTAGTGGAAAAGGAGGGGAATGGGGGGTAGGGAGGGAGGGATTGGTGAATGGGACGGGGGGAGAATGTGTACGAGTGAAGCAGTACGCCCCACTTTCAAGAGTGAATCCAAGTACAAAATAGAGGACGCGAAAGATGGGGAAGGGTGGGGGTGAGAGGACAAGAGAAGGCTTTGCAAAATGACACCAAGGTCTCATGGCTGCACGGCTTGACCTCCCCAAGTTTGCACCACTATCTGTCATAACACACCGCGCATCATGATGGGTGGAAGCATTGTAAATCTCTCTATCCCCAGTTGCTAGAACCCGACGAGGCATTTGTTAAAATGAGAAACAGCGGAATGATCGACTAGCAAGGATAGGTGATACAAGTACAAACCCTTAAATGGTTGTACCTCTAGAATTCCACTACTATAGCAGCTTGATAGTGCTCGAAAGCACGATTCCAACGCACCAAAGATTGCAGGAAACGGTCCACTATAGCCAGAGATACACACAAACATAGCAGTGATAATGACTTAGTTGATTTCTGATTTGTGCTGTTTGGTTTTATACTAGGACGCAATACAAAAACAAAGCACACAAGAAAGTGTCGACCCGGGTCGCGCGCTGAATTTCGTCGACGCGAAATTCCGAGCCTTGAATTTCGTCGGGCGAATTCCATTGACTGGAATTCCGTAGACGAGAATTTCCGCGACCAGAATTCCGTCGACCACCGACTGTAACTCCCGTGCGAATTCCGTTGACTTCGACACTTCGCTGCCGAGTTTCAAACCAAAGCGACCCGAGATCAATTTTGCCAAACTGTCCCTAGTCTGTCCTGACAAGACACTTTCGGGACACTTGAATCGAAAGGTTTCCAATTCGAAACTCGCGTGCAGCATAACTAGCACCTTAGCAGAAAGTGTCCTAAATCTGTCCTAAGACACTTTCGGGACAGATTTGAAGGTCACGAGTTCGAATCCCAGCGCCGACATTTTGTTGCTCATGGCAGCATTTCCTTCTAACACGCCCCCTTGCTATCAAGAGCACGCTGGACCAGCCCTACTGTTGCACAGCAACGATTGAAGGCTGCCTTGTCGAGCCGCTTCGTGAAGAAGTCCGCGGGCTGTGCCGTCGTAGGGATGTGCTGCAGCTTCAACTTCTTCAGGCGCACCATGTCCTGGAGCCACATGTGGCGACGGTCCACATGCTTCATGCGCCCCTGCAGCCCGCCCGCCTGGCTGAGCTGCACCGCTGACATGTTGTCGACGTGCAGGGTGGTGGGAACACCCTTCTTGACCAGTTGAAACTCCCACAGCAGGAACCTCAGCTTGCCCCCCTCCTTTCCCGCTTCCACCGCAGCCACAAGCTTGCTCTCGGCGGAGGAAAGTTTGGTCGCACCCTGCAGCTTCTTGGCCTGCCAGGAAACGGCAGCTCCGCCAAGCTTAAAGAGGTAGCCTCCCGTGGACGACCGGTTCTCTTTGTCGCCCGCATCATCCGCATCCGCATACCCCACGAGATTCAAACTCTCTGATCCTCCTTTGAACATCAGCTCCATGTCCTGTAGGAGAGTGTGCGGAAGAGCTCATGCCAATGCGCATCTGTCCTGAGGTGTGCGCCTGCTGCAAGGCGGCTGCACCCAAAAGAGAGGTCAGGAGATGGTTGAGATGGTTGCAAACTGCCCGGCATCCTGCTTTGCAGAGGAGAGAGGAGTGATCGGCTGCTTCCTCGGTGGCGCCCCCTTGAAGAACTGCTGCTGCACCTTCGCCACGTATGCATTTTGGTGCAGGAGGAGTGTCTTGTTGGGGCGGTCGCGCACAATGTGCAGCTCCAGGTAGCGCTCCACTGGCTCCACCTCACGGAGCTGAAACGCCTTGGCCAGCAGCTTCTTCAGGTCCTGCAGTAGCTGCTTGTCTTCATTTGCCGCTAGTAGGTCATCCACGTAGATTAGCAGCCACACTCGCTTCCCGCTCGCCACATCCTTATAGTATAGGGCCTGGTCCACAAGGCTCTTCTTGTACCCCTCCACAAGGAGCACCTTGTCCAGCTCCTTGTACCACAGAAGGGGGCTCTACTTGAGTCTATATAGGCTATTGTGTAGGAGGCACACCTTGTTGCTACCGTTGGTGAAGTAGGGCGGCTGCTGCATGTAGATCTCATGGTCGATGGTGCCGTGAAGAAATGCATTCTTCACATCAAGCTGCAGCAAATCCAAGTCCATAGCTGTTGCGATTGAGAGGAGCACGCGGACGGTGGTGTAGCTGCCAACAGGAGCTTAGGTGTCGTCGTAGTCGATGCCGAAGCGCTGGCTGAAGACCTTTGCCATGAGCCTAGCCTTGTACTTCTCCACGGTGCCATCAGGCCGTAGCATCTTCTTCAGTAGCCAATTGACGCCGACTGTTTTGCGACTTTCGGGTAGGTCAGCCAATGACCAAGTGCCTTGCTCATCAAGGCTCTCCATCTCCTCCTTCATAGCAGCCCACCATTCCTTGCCTTCAGGTCCGGTCAACGCTGCTACCAGGTCGAGGATGACACCTCCCCAAGCGCCTTCCTCCTCCTCATCCTCGTACAGGTACTCCACTTTGTCATCGCTGTCCGTGTCGCAGTCGTCCTCAGCAAGGTACGCCATGTCATACGGGTTTTCCTCATCGTCCGCATCCTGGGCCGTCATGGCTGATGGCTGAAACCGTACAGGTGGCAGCCCCTTGTTAGGCCTGCTCGAGCGACGTGGGGGTTGTGGAATGGGCTGGATGGGAGGAGCTGCAAGTGAAGGCTCATGCTCATGGGCCACTGGTGGTTGCTCATCCACTGCTACCTCTCCATCCTCCTCATGATCAGCCGTATCGCCTCCATCCTCAAGGGGACCATCCTCTGGTCCCACGGGCGCCGAATCAGCAATGGAGGGTGGACCAAGAGGAGGAGGTGCAGTAGGTGCCTTGCTGCCCAAAGGGCCCACCGAGCGATCAAGGGGTTGCTCGCCCCCTTGCACGGACGACACCGGGACCATGATGACGGTATGTGGTGGCAGCAGATTCTGCTCGGGTTCGTGGGGCTCAGGAAAGAGAGATGGGACTGAAGCAAAGGGTGGTGTGGGCTGGTCATTCCCATCACCCGCGCGTGCACGCAACTTCTGCCACCGTTTAAGTGACATATCCTTATAAAAACGTGCATCCCGTGTGATGACCATGCGCTTGGACTCAACATCCACCACACGCCATCCCTTGCTTTCCATGCTCATGCCCAAATGCATGCCCCGGCGAGTCTTGCTTGCAAGCTTCCCCTCACGCTCATGCTCAGGAATGAGGTACTGCACCATTCATCCAAACACATGGACCATGGACACATCGGGCTTGACTGCAAAGAATGCATCTCTGGTCCTCCCCTTCCTCCTCTTGACCCTTCCCCAACTGTTTTCCCTCGTTCTCAGTCTCCGTTGTCCCCTCCTCTTTCTCACAGTTGGACGCCTCGCTCTCCTCGTGCTCGTCCATCGTCTCCTGTTCCCGTCACTGACCTGAGTACTGCCATGTTTCATTCTAGTCCACCTCATTCGTCTCCGACTCTACTTCCTTCTCCTCCTGAGTCGGCCCTCACTACTTCCGTGTCTACTCCTGTCACTGACTACTACCGCACGTACTGTCCCGTACTCTCTCGTGTTCTAGCCTCTCTTGTCACCAACCCTCGTGCCTCACTATCCTCTGTCTCCGCACTTACTGCCGCAGTTAGTGAGTTTGCCTCTACTCGCCGCCTTGACTATGCCACCAGTCTTGTGGCTGCTCCTCCTACCAGTCCTCTAACCGTCGGGCGTGAGTCTGCCCTTGGCTGTGACGCCCTAGAGGACAGGCAGTTTGAGCTAGAGTTCCTGGCCGCCGCTTCCCCTCATCTCTGTGCCATGCTCCTCGCCCCTGAGGGAGACCCCGACGCCCTTGACATACCGACTCCTCGCACTTACGCTGAGGCAGTGTCAGGGCCTTGGGCCTCTCAGTGGAGAGCTGCCATGGACGCAGAGATGGCCTCCTACAGATCCACAGGCACCTACATCGACGAGGTTCCCCCCCCTGGGGCGAACGTAGTCGATGGCATGTGGATCTTCAGGGTGAAGCGGCCACCGGGATCTCCTCCGGTCTTCAAGGCGTGCTACGTGGCTAGAGGTTTCAGTCAGCGCGAGGGAGTCGACTTCTTTCAGACCTTCGCGCCTACCCCAAAGATGACCACTCTTTGGATGTTACTTCACGTAGCACCAAGGAGAGAATACAAGTTACACTGTCTTGACTTCTCCACTGCCTTCCTCAGGGTAGCCTACACGAGGAGGTCTGGTTACGTCATCCCTTTGCCTTCACTGGCACTTTCCCTCCTGGGACCCAGTGGAGGCTGAGGCGACCGGTCTACGGTCTCCGTCAGGCTCCTCGTGAGTGGCACGACACCCTTTGTTCAACCTTGTCTGACCTCGGTTTCCAGCCGTCTTCTGCCGACACGTCGATGTTCGTCCGTTGTGGCTCCACACCGTTCTTTGTGCTGGTCTACGTCGACGACCTGGTTTTCGCCACTGCTGACAGGGTTGCTTTGGCAGACGTGAAGTCTGAACTGCAGAAGAGACACACGTGCACTGACCTTGGTGAGCCGGCCACTACCTTGGCCTGCAGATCACCAGGGACAGAGCTGCTCACACCATTACACTCTCACAGTCACACATGGTGCAGCAGCCCTTCAGCAGTGCGAGCTTCAGCACTCCACAGTACAGCGCACGCATCTCGCTGTTGAACACAAACTCACTCGAACCTTTCCTGACGAGCCGATTGAGCCTAGTGGTCCTTACGCAGAGCTTGTGGGCTGCCTCATGTACCTGATGACTTGTACTCGCCCGGACCTCGCCTTCCCTCTCAGCATCCTTGTTAGAACGAGGAGGGTGATTAGGTCAAGGTTGGGGTACAAGACTAGAGTGTCGAGAAAGTTTCTGAACCCCTTAAGGCTAGCCCCAATATAGCCTAGATACTAACATGCATATGTTTTGACACACCCCCATAGGCGAAATGGGGGATAGCCAGAGCAAGCAATGGTCACAAGACCAGTCAAGAGAAGAAACAAAACACGGCTCAGGGTGGATCACAACGTCACCACACACACTGAGCACAAGCAAACGGCCACAAGGCCAGTCCACATGCAGAGGTATATAAGCAGCAAGAACAGCACAGTGATCTCTACCTAGCAATGCAAACATGCAGGTATATATATATATATATATATATATATAGATCACAGTACAAGCAAGGCCTACAGCAAGTGAGGAAATGTGGGCACAAGCCCTAGCAAAGTGCAGAAACGCTGATGATCACCAGACGGAAGCGCCTTAGTGAATATATCAGCAGTGTTGGCCCGAGTGGCCACGTGCCGCAGACGAAGCTGACCACGCTGCTGCAACTCTCGAGCCAGGAAGTAACACAGAGCGATGTGCTTTGTTCTGTGCTCCAGTCTGTGCTCCTCACACAAGGCAATGGCGGCCTTGTTGTCGACGTACAGCACTGGAGGAGAACGAGGCTGCTCTCCCAAGTCAGTCAGCAGGTAGGTGAGCCAGCGCAACTCCTGTGCAGCCATGGCTGTGGCGTAGATCTCAGCCTCACAACTGGAGCTGAGAACTGAAGACGAGCGTGTAGAACGCCACAAAACTGAACCAGAGCCAAGGCTGAAGGTGTAACCCTGTGACGACCGCTGAGTAGCCTGGTCGTCAACCCAAGAAGCGTCTGAGTGCCCAGTGAGAACAACTGGGCTCGTCCCTCCAAGCACTAGCCCCATGCCTGATGTGCTGCACAAGTAGCGCAGTACCCTCTTAGCAGCAGCCATGTGCTCAGGTCGGTGCCGACCAGGAGCCACGTAGCGAGCCAGAAGACCAAGAGGGTACGCGAGGTCAGGACGAGTGCAAGTCATCAAGTACATGAGGCAGCCAACTAGCTCTGGGTAAGGACCACTCGGCTCTACGGACTCGTTCGAAGGTGGAGCTGAGAGCGAATGACCTGTAGCCAGAGGAGTGGCCTGTGCTGAGGACCAGGTGAAGCCGAAGCGCTGAAGGACCTGCTGCACCATGTGTGACTGAGTCAGGGTGATGGTGCGGCGTGCTCGGTCCCGGGTGATCTGCAAGCCAAGGTAGCTGCGCAGCTCACCCAAGTCTGTGCACGTGTGTCTCTTCTGCAGCTCCGACTTCACGTGGGCGAGAGCCTCAGTGTCAGTAGTGGCAAAGACCAAGTCGTCGACGTACACGAGGATGTAGAACGGCGGCAGCGAAGTGTCGGTGCGCAGAAACAGCGACGGGTCAGCAGTAGAAGGCGCAAACCCAAGAGCCGCAAGCGTAGTCCTCAGTGTGTCGTGCCACTTACGAGGCGCCTGGCGGAGACCGTAGACCGGCCGTCGGAGGCTCCACTGGGTACCAGGAGGGAACGACCCAGTGAAGCCCGGGGGGCGGCGCAGCCAGATCTCCTCGTGCAGGCTGCCCTGCAAGAAAGCTGTGCTGAAGTCAAGAGAGTGAAGCTCGTAGTCACGGTGAGCGGCAACGTGCAGCAGCACCCGAAGAGTGGTCATCTTCGGGGTGGGGGAGAAGGTCTGGAAGAAGTCTACTCCCTCTCGCTGACTGAAGCCTCGAGCAACGTAACGAGCCTTGAAGACAGGTGGAGAACCTGGCGGCCGCTTCACCCTGAAAATCCACATGCCACTGACGATGTTCGCCCTAGGAGGGGGAACCTCGTCGACGTAAGTGCCAGTGGACTTCCAGGATGCCATCTCTGTGTCCATGGCTGTCTGCCACTGAGAGGAGTACTCACCCGCGATCGCCTCAGCGTAAGAGCGCGGGGTCGGGATGTCTGGTGCATCCGGGTCTCCCTCAGGTGCAATCAGCATGGACACGAGATGAGGTACAGCAGCGGCAAAGCACTCAAACTCCTCCTGCCTGTCCTCAAGGACGTCCGTGCCAAGAGCACACTCACCCCCGACGGACGGAGGACAGACAGACTCAGACTCAGAAACAAGACTCGCGGCGTAGTCTAGACGACAGTGAGCAGCAAAGTCGACAAGCTCAGCAACTAAGGCAGACGCAGCAGCGGACTCAAAGGAAGGGTCAGTGACAACAGTGGCCAGGAGACGCGTGACAGTAGGGTGAGCAGCACGTACACGGTCAGACTCAGGGTCTGGAACGTCAGGCAGAGAAGACGCAGGAGGGGACGGCAGTGGAACACGCTGGGGAGCAGTCGACGGACGAAGTGTCATCTGGTGCGTGCCAGGGACAGGAGGAGGACGCGGACGCGGAACACGACGACTAGTGCGAACGGGCGACGCAGGACGAGACGCAGGCTCACGACGCTCAGCAAGACCTCCTGTCTGCTCAGTGTAAGGAGAAGGGGCAGGCAGCGGTGAGCCAGGCTGTAACGGAAGACCAGTAGACGACGGGAGGGTAAGAACCTGACGAAGAGCAGAGTCAGGCGGTGGCAGAGACGACGGAGACGGCGGAGCAAAGAACAGTCGTGGCTGCGCAGTGCCCCCAGCACCAGCAGCTCCACCACCTCCAGCAGCTCCAGCACCTCCAGGACCAGCGTCACCAGCAGGAGCACCCCCAGAGCCGGCACCTGTAGTCCCAGGGTCTCCAGTCGCAGTGTCCCCAGCAGCAACACCCCCAGACTCAGCACCAGCTCT